GGAGAAACGAGGGGAGAGGGGGGAGAGTCAGTGCCAATTCAACTTTCTTAACTGAAAATCGAAAAGCCAACAAAGAGACAGTTATTTGGTAATTGAAGATGTGTGAGTGTGCGAGTATGTGTGTGTGTGTGGTTGGAAGTATGAATGTGTGTTTGTTGATATGAATTTTTTACTCACTTCACCCGGTAACTTAAGACTTTATTACCCTTTGGGGATGTGGGTGAGGGTGTGTGTGTGCCGGTTGGTTTGTCTCATGGCAGTCTCAAGAGGTATTATCAAGGATACTATAAACATATCAAAACATATTAGTATGTCAGGATAATGTTGTTTTAAGAAAGTCCTGTTTGCGGTGTCCCTATTTTTGGGCAGGGAGAGGGGCGGATCAAAGTATTTATCCCCCCAACCCTACCTCCTTAAAGGAGAACTCAAGAGCCATGGGTATGTGTGTGTCTGAGGATAATGTGATGTTGTTAACATTTCGGGCTTTACACCTTCTGACATTATTGTAACACTGTCGTTATCCCTTAAGTCGGCAAAGGTCATTCTATTAGTAAAAAAGTTAAATTGCGAAAAAATAAACAAATATTTATGACAATTGCCAACAAAAGGGTATTATAGAGAGGACTTCTCTATGGTACATCTATTTTAAATGCCATTTATGGACACTAACAGAAGACCAAGTGGAGTTCTTAGCGAAAAACAAATGGTCTTCTTAGAGAAGGCCAAGTGTCGAGAGAACCAAGACCCCTTCTTAGAGAAGACCAAATAGACAGGTCTTCTCAGTGGAGACCTAAGAGCAGGAGGTCTTCTTAGAGAAGAGCACGAGGTATTCTAAGAGAAGAACACGAGGTCTTATTAGAGAAGAGCAAGAGGTCTTCTTAGAGAAGAGCATGAGGTCTTCTTAGAGAAGAGCACGAGGTCTTCTTAGAGAAGAGTATGAGGTCTTCTCAAAGAAGAGCAGAAGGTCTTCTTCGAGAGAAGAGCTGAAGGTCTTCTTCGAGAGAAGAGCTGAAGGTCTTCTTTGAGAGAAGAGCAGAAGGTCTTCTTCGAGAGAAGAGCAGAAGGTCTTCTTCGAGAGAAGAGCAGAAGGTCTTCTTCGAGAGAAGAGCTGAAGGTCTTCTTCGAGAGAAGAGCTGAAGGTCTTCTTCGAGAGAAGAGCTGAAGGTCTTCTTCGAGAGAAAAGCAGAAGATCTTCTCAGAGATGAGAGCAGAAGGTCTTCTTAGAGAACACCAAGCAGTCTTCACCAAGTGGCCCTCTTAAAGGAGACCTTCTTGGAGCAGACCAGAAAACCCAGTGGTCTTCCTGGAGGAGAGCAGAAGATCTTCTCAGAGAGAAGAGCAAAAGATCTTCTCAGAGAGAAGAGCAGAAGGTCTTCTTAGAGAGAAGAGCAGAAGGTCTTCCTACAGAGAAAAGCAGAAGATCTTCTCAGAGAGAAGAGCTTCTCAAAGAGAAGAGCGAAGGTCTTCTCAGAGATAAGAGTAAAAGGTCTTCTCAGAGAAGAGCAGAAGGTCTTCTCAGAGATGAGAGCAGAAGGTCTTCTCAGAGAACACCAAGCAGTCTTCACCAAGTGGCTCTCTCAGAGGAGACCTTCTTGGAGCAGACCAGAAAACCTAGTGGTCTTCCTGATCTAGTGGTTTTCTTGAAGAAGGCCAAGTGGTCTTCTTAGAGAAGACCTAGAGGTCTCCTTAGAGAAGACCAAGTAAAGCCTAGTGGTCCTCTTAGAGAAGACCAAGTAACGCCTAGTGGTCCTCTTGGAGAAGACCGAGTGGTCTTCTTGGAGATCTAGTGGTTTTCTTGAAGAAGGCCAAGTGGTCTTCTTAGATAAGACCTAGAGGTCTCCTTAGAGAAGACCAAGTAAGGCCTAGTGGTCCTCTTAGAGAAGACCGAGTGGTCTTCTTGGAGAAGAACAAGAGGTCTTATTGGAGAAGAATAAGAGGTCGTCTTAGAGAAGACCATGTGGCCTTCTTCTGGTGGACTTCTTGAGGAGAACCAAGAAGTCTTCTTAGAGACCTAGATCAAGTGGTGTGGTAGTAGAAATAGTGGTTCTGTAATATAAGACCAAGTAGCCTTCTCCGAGTTGTTTTAACGGAAGACCTGGAGGACTTCTCAGAGACGACCAAAGGCTCCTCTCATAGAAAACAAAGACTTCCCACAAGGTTTCCTCTGATAGAATCTGTTCTGCAGGTATCTCCACTTTTTTTGGATAGAAAAACAAGACAATTCAAATCACTCTTTTTCTTTCATTTTGCGTCTAAATCCCATAAAAATTATGACATGTGTCAAACTGTCAATTGAAAACTGTCGCGGCATATGACAAGAAAAGGCCTTAAACTCGCCCATTTATCACATGGTCGTATATTAGGGGTGCGAGTAAGCACATTATGTTCAATGTCGGAAAATAACCATCAACCCAATTCTTGGCAATACATCTGTCATTTATTCCAACACTTGTCGGAAAAGCAGACAGACAAGGCCCCATGCAAATCAACCAGAATCTGTCACCTACTTTTACTTCGATGGAATGGAAGACAAAACAGAATTATTGGCATTTTTCGTTGTCGTGGTTACATGCAAACAGCGGATATATCTCCTTTCCGAATTCCAGCGAGAAAATAAAATCAAAAGAATTGACAAAAGTATTGATGGCTGATGATATCACACACTCTCCATATGAGACCTCCTTCCCCCATTCGAGCAAAGGGAAAAACTCCATTTAGAATGTGATTCAGAAAAATACAGGAAATACCAGCCAGCAACAGAAGATGGCTTTATTTCACACAAGCCATTTCGTGGCATGCAACATGTGGAATCGGTGTCTTTGTGTGTTGGGACTAAACACCGACACCATGGCAAATAAACCAGAGGCCACCAGAAGCCCAGCGCGCCCAAGAAGAAAAAAGAAAACTAACAACGGGTATGAATAAATTAAGACCCAGCTGACTGCCGTGGATGGATGCTAAGATGGATGTCGGAATGAATGATTTGGTATTGAATTGGTTGCTGGCAGTTTTTAGGTGATTTCACAGAAACAAATCAATTGTAAACAACAACAACAACATCACAATGTGTTGTTGTTGTTGTTTTCATAACAATAACAATAAAATATCAGCCTTTCGACGACAATGTTTATTTCTCACACACATATGTCTTCCTAATGCCAGGCAGCCAATGTTAATGACTTGGATGTGCATTGGGAGTGGGGGAGGTGAAATGCCAGCAACCATCAGGGCACTTGACGACGACCAACCTTTCTCGAGAGAAGGCTGTTGCATATGCATACCATGAATGGAATTGAGGCATTTAAATGTTGCATTTTGGGGTTGGATGTTTGTACATAACCTCCAAGTGGTGGCGGCAACCGAACACAATGTCGAACACGAAGAAAGGCAATGACATAAAACACCTGCACAACGACAAACATTTCAATAGAAATCGAAAAAAAGCGCCGAACCAAACAACAAGTTATATGATAACATGCATCCACATGTGGATATTAGGGTGGATCCTACTGAAGAGAAAATAGACTTCTTACAGAATTCTCTGAAAGAAAAAGGCAAATGGACTTCTCAGAGAAAAGACATTGGCCTTCTAAGAAAAGGGCAAGTGGTTCTCTTATAGAAGATGAAATGCCCTACTCATGGAAGACGCAGGGATTTTCTCCGAGAGGAGCAAGTGGACTTCTCCAAGAAGAGCTATTGGTCTTCTCCGAGAGGATCAAGTGGACTTCTCCAAGAAGAGCAAGTGGTCTTCCCCGAGAAGAGTCAGTGATCTTCTCCGAGAAGAGGTCTTCTCAGAGATGAGCAAGTGAGAAAAGACAGTGATTTTCTGAGAGAACCGCCAGGTGTCTTCTCAGAGAAGAGCCAGGTGTATTCTCAGAGAAGAGTAAGTGGTCTTCTCAGAGAAGAGCCGGGGGTCTTATCAGAGAAGAGCCAGGTGTCTTCTCAGAGAAGAGCAAGTGGTCTTCTCCGAGGAGAGCCAGGTGTCTTCTCAGAGAAGAGCAAGTGGTATTCTCCGAGGAGAGCAAGTGGTCTTATCAGAGAAGAGCCAGGTGTCTTTTCAGAGAAGAGCCAGGTGTCTTTTCTGAGAAGAGCAAGTCTGAGAAGAGCAAGTGGTCTTCTCCGAGAAGAGCAAGTGGTCTTCTCCGAGAAGAGCAAGTGGTCTTCTCATAGAAGACGAAGTGGTCTTCTCATAGAAGACGAAGTGGTCTTCTCATAGAAGACGAAGTGGTCTTCTCATAGAAGACGAAGTGGTCTTCTCATAGAAGAGCTGAGAATTATTTTATGTTTTTGAGAAAGAAAATCCCTGAATCACTTAGGGCCACCCTTATACCCACCTCATCATAAATGGTGCACGGTCTGCCGGTAATAACTCAGCCAGTTAGCAAAGTGACAGAAAAACGACAATGTTTTTGTTGGTAGTGGTGGTGGTGGTGGTCTGAATGTCTACAGTTTCATGAAATTGAGATGAAATTTGAAGGAAATACAGTTTCTTCAACGGTAGCGGGTGAGGGGATAGGCTGATGCAGGAAAATGCAAGGTGATGCTGTTATAAAAATGTTATTGTTTGTGGCTCTAGTGCCAACAATAGATTTTCATGTTTTGATCTTCACATTACATCTGTCATCAGAGATCGTTCACCTACAACGAACGGCAGAGATTCCAAGTGATTTTATGGTCGGAATTCCTGGAATTCAGGAAATAAAAATATAATGGAAAAAAAATAACTTGCCATGGTCTGCTTGCAAATGGTGTGAATGCGAATGGAGATGTCTGTGATGTTATAACCCACCCAACGATTAAGGGTTCAGTTTCAGTTGCATATGTCCATAAGATGTGGTGTTATAACCCACCCAGCAGAATTTGTTATCGTCGACCTATGAGCGATGTAGTGTCCAGTTTTCAGATTGTCCATAAAATTTTGAATTTTGTCATAATCGACACAGTTTTCAATTCTTAACGGATTTTTAATTAAAAATAATACTTTCAAAATTTTCACTTACCTGACTGTGATCCGCCGGCGATTTGACGCATCTCCTTGGTAAACTCTTTGTTGCCAAACTGACATGACAAATCATGAACGGTGCGTGGCTCGCCCTTATCCAATAGACGTTCCAAAAAGAATAGCAACGTCATGTTGCGTGCCATTTCATATTCCATGGACTCCATGTTGGCGGTGTTGTTGTTGGTGTTGCTGTTCCTCTGCTCTGTTCAAATTTTTTAGTTTTCCTCTGCAGTCCGTGTTATTGTTGCTGTTATAATTGTTGTAATTTCCTTGTGTAATTGAGTGTTTTTCGTAGATTTCTTTTTTAGCACAACCCTTAAAACGAATTATTGTAATTGGGAATTGTCGTTGTTGTTGTAGAGTCTTTTTTTTTGTTGTTGTTTAAATTTACAAGTCCGTGATAAAAATATAGGAAGCTCACGATTTTTTGTTGTTGTTGTTTTTATTTATTATGTGATTTTTGTTGTTGGCGGTGTTGTTTTGATTTTGTTTTCTTTTAAGGCAGTTGCGGGGGGAAACTCTGACGTTTTAATAAGCTATGTTGTTATCTAGAAAAAGACGAAAGAAAAAAAACAAATTAATTAAATTATATTATATTTTTCAATAATTTTGCCTTTTTTGTGGCATTATGCAATTGTTTGTGAGGTATTAAAAAAATTATCGAACAAAATCGATGGTTTTCCTTAAAAAAATGCGATATTTATTGTAAATAGCGATTTTTAAGGGTAAATAAACCCTTTCACATGTCTTCTATAAATGATATCACTTCTAGAGAACTTATATGAATAAAAATCGTTATAACCTCAGCCATATGACTACAGAGCATATATATCATTTAATACGATCAAAATGTGCCTCATAGAAATAACGGTTTCAGACCCCAGGTCTCTTTGGACCAAATCCGTTTCGGGACATTTGAAGTCGATCTAGCGTTGTCCTTCCGTCTGTCTGGCTGGTGCGTACTCTCAAAGGGAGTATCCGATTTGGAATAAGCTTGGTACATCGTAAAATTAATATCAAACATAGATCGAGTTCGGAAATGAGCATTATCAGCTTGTACCTCTCACAAAAAAGGTCGGAATTTTCAAAAAAAAAATAATAATAATAATAATTTTACTACACAGGTGCGAAATGGGACCATATCGGTGCCCCAAAAGGGGTCAAATTTTTGAATAATTATAACTCCTTTAAAATGTGATGTAAGAGTCCGATTGTCTTCAAATTACACACATCACAACATTTTTATTGACCCAAGTTCTGGTATGAAAATGGAATATATCGGCCCACTCCTTGTGGAACTCCTCCCCCAAAGGGTCAACATTTTGAATATCCATGAAGCTCATAGAACCCGTAATTAACATTCGATTTCATTCAGACTTGGTACATCTATGACTTGGCACATCTGTTATAAATATGGTAGAGATCGGACCATTGTTTCTGGTACCTCCCCCATAAAAGGTCAAAATTTTGAATAACCAAAACGATCATAAACTCCGGTTCTCTTCATATTTCACAAATTCCATTAAATCTACTAACACAAAATCTGCTGTGAAGATGTGATATATCGGTCCACTCCTTGTGGAACCACTCCCCCAAAGGGTCTAATTTTGGAAATTCGTAATAAAACGTAAAATGGACATCCGATTCCATTCAGACTCGGTACATCTCAATATGTACATCAACACAAAATCTGTTATAAAGATGATAGAGATCGGACCATTTCTTCAGGTAACTCACCCACATAGGGTTAAAGATTTTGGATACCAAAACCCTCTGAGGAAGCGGAATAAGCATCCAACTCTCTTTAAATTTCACACATACAAGCTTTTTTGCTACAAAAGATCTGCTGTTAAGATGATAAATATACAGGGTGAGATGAAACAACTGCAACCAACTTCAGACTGCTGTAATTTCCAGGACACTCGTCCGACAGCTGTTAAAATTATTCCAGTGACAGCTCATTATATTGTTTACAAGCGTTCAAAAGTATTTTGTTGAGAATTTTCCAGAAAAAAGTTATTCGTGATGATTTCTTTATATTTGCCTAGATAACCACAAGTGGCTATCGTTAGAGCACTCCAGCATTTCAATGTGAATAAATCTTTTGTGTCTCGTACCATCGCTCGTTACCGTTGGTGATACTGGTAGCGTAACCCGACGTCAAGGAAGTGGGCGGAAGAAAACAGCCACATCAGCAGAAATGGTTCGATCGAAACCTGTATCGCAGTGGCCAAAAAATTGGCTCATGAGCTGAACATATCGCAATATTCCATTCGGTAAATATTGAAAAATCACCTCGAGGTAAAGCCATTGAAATTCGAAAATTTGCAAAAACTTACACCGCAACAGAAAGAAAACAGACTCAAAAGAGCTAAAGAGTTGCTTCGCTTGGCCGAAAGTGGTGAACTGCCGAATTTGGTTTTCTCCGATGATAAATGGTTACAAAATGAGGTTCCTCGCTTCATTTTCAGCGCACAATGGCCACCAAAATCTCCGGATACCAATCCGTTGGACTATTGTGTCTGGAGTATTTTGGAACGCAAGGTTGGTACTAAAAAATACCAAAGTGTCGATCATCTCAAGCAAGCGCTTCGCCGGGAATGGGCCAAAATACCGCAGAGCAACATTCGGGCAACGTGTGACGGTTTCTTTGGCAGTTTATTGGCAGGGCATTATTCGTGCCAAAGGTGACCAATTCGAACAAATTGAAACTTATTCTTAAATTGATGCTGTTTCCGACATTTTTGCTTTCATTCAATAAAAATTAAAAAAAAAGATGTAAAAATTATGGCGTTTGACTTTGTTGCTCAACCTATATATTTATTTTAACCTATAATGGGAGTTAGTATATAGCTGGTCCTATCTCGATAAAATTTGGCAGAGTCATTTTCGAACCCCATAAGTTATCTGGTACAAAATATCATTTTTGTGGTGTGCATATTACGCATGTGAGGGACTTAAAACATATATGCTATATCTGAACCTCATTTCATGTACTCGCATCTAGACTGATCAGATGTACAAAAATGCAGGTCATTTGGACTGTTGTTGGTCATATGGTGCACAATTAACCCGAGATAGGTTGAAGATATTTATGTGAGCTACATCTAAATTTAAATCGATTCGCACCAATTGTCCTTGAGCTAAACAGTTATTGTTTGCAAAATTTCATCTCAATGGGATAATAAATGCGACCTGCATTTTGTTAACAAAAATACATAAACAGACGGACGGACGATGCATGGACAAAACTATGGGTCTTTCTCGCTTCCTTCTCCATGTTACAAACAAATGCACAAATATATAATACCCTTACCCCTATGTGGTGTAGGGTATAAACATATCGGATGCCCATTTTGAATTTTATCAAGGTATTCGTTCGAGGTTCGTTCAGGCTATCCCAAAATATAAAGTGGATAAAAATATTAGGATATGCAAAAGTTGAAATTGAAAAATTTATCATTTTTAGGGGAGATATTAGAAGGAGTGGTCCGATATTGCCCATTTTCACACCTGTTACAAATATTGGAATTCGCAAAGTTTGCAAAAAATCGATTGATCCTTCCATTTTTATTTGAGATACATTTTCTCTTTGACCCTTTTTTGAGGGAGGAAGTTTACCCACACTGCCATCTACGAACTCAATATAAGTTTCATAATAATATTATGATGTACCAATTTTGGACCAAATCTGATAATCCCATTGAGGATGCGCACCAGCCAGTCAGGCTCCAAATGTCTTGAAATTGGTAATATATCCAAACAGACCTGGGGTCTAGACCGTTATTTTGACGAGGCAAGTATCAAATGGCCGTATCAAATGATAATTTGATCATTTGATACTTGCCTCGTCAAAATATCGATCTAGACCCCAGGTCTGTTTGGATATAATACCTATTTCAGTAGCCATATTTTCATACGGTTTTTAGTTTAAATCGAATCGAACTCGGACAGTGTGGTTCGCTGGAAAGTTACAATTAGCTAGGAAGGGGTAATAAGATGGCTGCAGTGTTTGTGGTCAAAACATCGGAAGAATAACAAAAAATCTAAGCTATGGAATTGTTTTTCGCAATATATTGCCGATAATACACACATTTTTCCAAGTGAATTTTTATTTATTTGACGAAAGCAATATGCCCGTGAAGGGAAACTGCATGGAAAATGCTGAATTGCACAAAAACTATGCTAGCTGCGTCATTGAGGCGGGTCTTAAATGAAAGGTCTCAAGGAGTACTTTCTGGCGATATATGCCTTTTATTCCCAACTGATTTCAGATAAGGCATATATAGCCAGAAAGTACTCCTCGAGACCTTTCATTTAAGACACGCCTCAATGGCGCAGCTAGCATAGTTTTTGTGCAATTCAGCATTTCCCATGCAGTTTCCCTACCCAAACCGCCACTTTGGTTAGAAAATCGGAAAATTCGGTTATCTGAAATCAGTTGGGAATATAAGTCATATATAGCCAGAAAATACTCCTCAAGACCCTTCATTTAAGAGCCGCTTTAATGACGCAGCTAGCATAGTTTTTGTGCAATTCAACATTTTCCATGCAGTTTCCCTACCGCCAACACCACTCTGGTTATTCGTCCTCATCGGGAAATTGTGTCATTTTCCTGTTAAATTTATTTAGGAGAATTGTTATTATCTTAATACTTATTAAAAATATGTTGATTTATCCAAAAAATGGTAAAAATCATTAATATTAAAAAAACTATTTTTTAATTAACCCCTTGCGCACCAACACAAAATACAAGTGGTTTGTGTCATTGCTTTTTAAATTTTAAATTTTTTTAAATTTATCTTCATGGGTATGAAAGCAATAATAGTATGTTTTAAATTGCTGAGTTTTCGAATAGTAACGATACCAATATTTTCGGATTAAAGATTTGAAATATTAATGGTATTTAAATTTCGGAAGCCTTTACAGGGCGCAGTAGAGACAGAACAAGACCTTAGACTGTCATTTCTTGAGTCGCCAAGAATAGCAAAACCTTCCCAAAATAAACCAAAATACACTCGTCACATAAACATGTAAACATATTTAATTCTCTTTTTTTTTGCATTAGTCATGTAAATATTCTAAATAAGGCCAGTTGTTAGTTCGACATTAAGTCTTTTTTTAGCTGGACATTGTTTATTGCACCGTCTCATGCATTAAACACAACAATAATAATAAAAAATGAGCAGCAAAAAGGTAATCTATGATTTCTAAGCACGTTTGTTATATTTTTTTCTCTCTCTGCCTCTCTATTTTGTCATTTCTACTCAACGTAAATAATTTAACAAAACTTTTACCGTAATGAAACAGAAGAAAAAAAAACCAAACAGCAACAACATCACACACACACACAACACGAAGTTGTTGAGCTATTTCATTAAGCAAATGTCCCGACTCGTTCACGTTTTGTTTGTCCACTTCTTGTAATTTGTTATTCGCTTTTTGTTTCTATCCTCGTCCCGGTTAATCGAAAAATTCAAACGTGCAACGATGACAGTTAAAGAAGTTACCAATCGTAACGTAAATGGTTGTTGTTGGTTTTAGTTAA